GTATTACAAATGAGAATGACAAAGTTTTGTTTTCCCCCTACTTATGGTATTAGTGGGCTCTGTGGATTGTCGATGCGACGCTTCGTAACCCCGGATGCCGGGTTTCGATCCCACTGCGGGCCATGCCCCTTTGCGTTGGTTTCGACGTGGTATCAAAAAGCCGACCGTCCGAAGCATGCAAACTCGGGACGTAAATTTTGCTGAAAAACCCAAAAAACACCGATTTGGTTTTCGCAACGTTTGTAAAGGATACGCAACTAACCTATATGGGTACATAGACCTTGTAAATGAAAACCAGGTGAAGGCTGAATGAACCCCCAGATGTAAATAATTTATAAAATAACTTATCGTAAAAAAGTTTAAGGCCCCTTTTTTTTAAATACTGAAACCCCAAAAAAAGAAAATATTCCTACTACGAGGACAATGGTAAATACACCAAAAAGGGGTAAACAGCTAAAATAAAAAATAACACAAAATGGTAAAACGCGTCGAAACTGTACGTTACAATTTTTGCTTTTCAAAAAGGGCACCTCCCTGCCTGTACCTGTAAACTACAAAATAAAGACGTTAGTCCTCGTGAAATTTCAAAGGCCTCTACAAAAAGACTATTTTACTAAAAGAATTTTAGCGAGCTCTAGAAACCCCTTTCCCGAAAATCCACACAGAGCAGATATACTGCTACTTTCCGATTCCTTTTTCATGAATATACTTTTAACTTCATTGAGAGACGGTTTTCCCCTGTTTTTTCCAGTTTCATTCATTTTTGTCTTCACATACTAATCAGTACATTAGTTGATCAAGCCTGAAAACGTTTCCAACAATTTTCCCAAACTTTTCTAACGGAACTGTTTGTAAAAAAACCTTTTCCTACACCCCGTCCGAAAATACAGGGGTTTGGTGTGACATTTGGGGCGGGGCAGACCCAAAATACCCCCTGGGACACGCTGTGCGACAAGGTTGTAAACCCTTCAAATTTCTTTACACAAAAAGGTATCATATTAAGTTCACAGTTCGATAATCTGGTTTCTTCTGGGGCTTCATCGAACAATATCTGCTTTCTTTCCCCCTACTCTTTAATTAAAAAAAAACCCCGCAATAAAAAATTAAAATTGGGAAAAAACGCCCTTGTCACTACTATGTTTTCCTGAAAATGTTGAACAAGCCGACTTTTTTTAGGGTTTCTTTATCAGAATTTTTAAACTCCCCAGTTCTGATTTAGCTAGCGGACGTAGCGACGACGAGACTTACTGACCCGGTCTGTGTTGCCCACATTAGGCTGGGTGCACGCGAGCTGCAAAAAACCTGGGCGTTTTTAGATGCGAAAACAGTTCCCCACCTGATGTGGGTTTGCGTGTACTAGCGAATCCTTTTTCTAGAACAAGGATTTAAAACATTTGTTTGGGATTATAAAAGGAGGAATGTCAAAAAAGGAATTTCCCATACTGTCAGAGAAAGCAAAATCATCTGTTTTGTGTGAAAGAAAAACCTTTGTTTATTCCTTTTTACAAACTGTTTAAGGCTTAAGTTCGGCCTTCTTTGGGATAGGATCGTCGCATCTATACCGGAGCAGAAGAGAGAGAAGCGAGAGAGAGAGAAGAGAAGAGAGAGAGAGAGCGAAATGGGAGTTGGGCGTGTGAGAGAAGGGTAAAGTTATAGCAATATTTTAATATATACATACATGTGTATGTATGTACATATACAAACATACACATACATACACACTTCTTTATGTAGTAGGTTTTTTGCAGAACGTCGCTCATATTAAAAATGCTGTTTATTATCTCCTCTTTCTTGTCGTTCCAATCTTTTAGTATGTGGGTACATGTATTTATTCGCCCATGGTGTTTTGAAAAAAAATGTGTCAGGCTAAAGGGTCGCTCTGGAGAACTAGGCATATTCGGTTAAAAAAACAACAACCCAGTATGTAAGATGTCTATTAGTTGGTTCGTGACGACCTGAGAAAAACAGTGCAAGTAGATGACAAGAGGGGATATTGAGAGGGTTGCGTATTGAGAGGCGGTTGCTATGAGATAGCTGTCGCCCACTATCGAAATAGGCGTGTGGTGTTGAGTGTGTGTGTGTGTTTTTGGGTAGGGTGTGTTGTGGTTTGAAGTGTGGGGCTGTGTGTTGTGTTAACAAGCTAACGTTGGTGGCTGACAAAAAAATTAAAACAAAAATACTTCTTTCATCTTTAGTGTAAAAAGAATTGGTCATTTGTATCTTAATGCTACACATTTAAACAAGAACTGTAACCTGTCTCCTTTTCGCCTAACTATTTGGTAAACTAAGGAAGCTATTTTTTAGACTTGCTATCACATTCCTGGCTTTTCCCCCCCCCCCCCCCCTAAATTTATCTATATTCAACAAACGCCACCCCTCCCTTTAAAGCATTAACGACAACCTTTAATTTTTCAGCTTTTGAACTTTTTATAATTTTTAAACATTTTATACTTTTTTTAAAAAAAACTTTTGAACTTATTAAAAAAAAAAAGCAACAACATTTTACTGTTACCTAATTTTAAAAAAAAAGCTAAGAAAACCTTATTTGCACCATAAAACAGAAGCGGTATACTTACCAAAAATGTATTTTATCAAACAAACTGACATGCCACCACCTTGGACCTGAACCACCACCGCCAGCATCCTGAACCACCACCAGCTGGCCTATGAAACAGGCACCAAGACTCGGAGCTTCTACCAACAGGCCCAGAGAAGAAACTACGCCTCATCAACGAGCAGAAAAACCAAACAACAATAAATCCAGTAAACCTCCGTGAATGACATAAAAATGAGGGAAAACAAACCTAACCTAAGCCTCCATCCCTTTCCCTATAAAAGAAAATATTCCTCACCAAAGACCCTGAACCTGCATAAAAAAAAAAAAAATTAAAAAAAAAACGAGAGCCTCAAGCAAAGAAGAAAAAAAAACCGAGCCACTATAAATATCCCCAAAGAAGAAAATACTCCACAACAAAGATCCTGAACCTCCGTAAATCACAAAAGAAAAAAACCGAACCATCATGCATCCAGTAAACCTGAACTGATGATGGTTCCGGTAACATCAGTATTGGGACTCTGCGCTGGTCACTGAGGATGAAGACGGAACACGCATGGGAATGCCCCGAGTGCTGTGGTGTCAATTCTTGACTCAGTTCAACTGGAGTAAACCTTCGTATTTGACAGACAGAGAGAGGGAGAGGGAGAGAGAGTGAGAGAGAGAGAGAGTGAGAGAGAGAGAGGGGAGAGAGAGAGTGAGAGAGAGAGTGAGAGAGAGTGAGAGAGAGAGAGTGAGAGAGAGAGAGAGAGAGAGAGAGAGAGAGAGAGAGAGAGAGGGATATATAGAGAGAGCAAAAAATCCCAGCTTCCATAATTAGGTCGCTTTGCGGCTCGCTCTGGAAAAAAGAGGGCGGGAGAAGGAAGGGTGGGGGGGTGTTCTTCGTTTCAGTTAATCCTCCATACATCGCAGGAGTATAATAGTTAACCCTCACACTTTATACTACTCTGTCCGGCCACTAAGCCAATGTAAGTTCTAAAATAAAATTCCTCTCTATGTGGATTCGACTCAAAAGACTTTCAGATCGAAAGGAAAGAGTCTAGCCAGTACTCTACTGCAGCCCTCAATACGCCTATCAGCGTTTTTAATACAAGAAATGTCCTTTTCATCTCAGCATAATAAATTATATCTTCGTAAGAACCAATAATCTCGCAGCTTAGATACATCAAAGAAACCTGCCACTGTGGGTCATTGTACTTGGACAATTGAATCGTCATGGAATGTTATCAGGACAGCCATGACATCTCACTGTGACCCGTGCAATGTTTGTGGAAATTACAAATGTAGTTAAGTGAAGCATTTATCCGGACAGACTAAACTTTATCTTTTCATCAAATGATTTCCACTAATCAAGGGATATCAACATAACCAAACAAGCCGCCGTCAAGATAACAGATTTAATATGTGTAGTGAGACTGAATAACTAAAAGATAATTTAAAACTTCAAATTATGTAATTATTCCGTACTCATTTCTTCGTAGGATCCAAACATCTGGTATTAGTTTGCAAAAGTGACTGAGAATTACGACACATTCTCTGATCCTTGAATATTCAATTTGTTCTCGAAGGCTAACGTATAATAGCAAAATCCTAAGAATTCTGTAGGAAACCACATAGGATTTTAAAACCGTTCAAAACGTTACAATATAATATACATTTTTGGCAGGTACACATAGATGTGAATTTGAATTCAACGGTAACACTGCCATGGGAAAGTTTATTAAAACATCTGGAAAAGTGGTCCTTGTGTTGGAGGGTTGGGGTGGGGGGGGGGGGGGGTGATTTGCAGAACGAAAATCTGTGATTGTGAAGAATTACGATGATGGAACATGAAAAACCCTATTTGGTCGTTGGCATTGAAAGATATCCCAGAAAACTGACACGAAGCGAAGGCACGAAGCAGCTGAAGCAAAGGTCCAAGGTCAGGGTTTTGAACTGCAACGACAGATACAATGTCGACTTCAGTTTTGAAAAGAGTGTTGTAAACAAAGACATCTTCAGAGATTCTGTACCCAAGAGCAAGTCAACAAGGCAAGTCAGATACATTCGAAGAAAGCTATAAGACTGGCAAAAACAAGTGTCTTTTCCATTCTTTGAGATTGTACAATTTGTTAATGCGTTTTGAATTTCTGGACTGATTTCTTAAAACGGGTAAAACCACACTCAAAAATACATACCGCTTTTTCAAGGCTCTCAGCCCTACTAATAGCAGCACAGCATATGAACAAGCATGAAGACACTAGCAGCACAGTATATGAACAAGCATGAAGACACTAGCAGCACAGTATATGAACAAGCATGAAGACAATAGCAGCACAGTATATGAACAAGCATGAAGACAATAGCAGCACAGTATATAAACAAAGCCTGAGCAGGCAGCAAGTACAAAATTGAACAGACCCAGCATGGAAACATAGCACAGTATATGAACAAGCATGAAGACAATAGCAGCACAGTATATGAACAGCATGCAAGACAGTATAGCAGCACAGTATAATATAACAAGCATGAAGACAATAGCAGCACAGTAATATAAACAAGCATTAAGACAATAGCAGCACAGTATATAGTGAACAAGCATGAAGACAATAGCAGCCACAGTATAATGAACAAGCATGAAGAACACTAGCAGCA